GAACGTTTGAAGATAGATCAACAGCGTATTAGAGAGGAAAAGCGGCTTGAAAAAAAAAAAAGTAATTAAAAAAAGGAAATAGAACCTGTCTCATCCATATTCCAGATACAATCGGGGGTGAGTGAATATTCAGTAAGAATTTTTTGAAGTTTGTTGAAATAGTCATTGATTATAATAGGATTTGCTTTTTGGGCACGTGCTTCATTTAGAGCCTGCGGGATGCGAAATGAAAGTTCGGGGTGATCTTCTAAAAACCGTTTCTACCATGCTTGGCCTGATCCATTCTCGTTAAAAGGATGTGGGTGCCCATCTCTACCAACAATTTCCATCACACAATGATTCACACCAGACTTTGACAATCCGAAATCAAGTCTCTGCATGTTCAAGCAATAACCAACCAGTTGCTTTTCTTCATGATCGGTTAAAACTTTATTAGGACCTGGACATTTAAGAGGACCATTGTTTCGAATGACACGTCTAAGGGTTGATTCCGGAATATCAAATTTTCGTGCAATACTCCTCACACTTGGAGCTGTAGGATTATTTGAAGAGTTCTTTATAGCCTTAAGGGCTTTCTCAATAGCATTATTTCGGGTAGTTTTATCTTTTTTAAGTGACATAATGTGCAATTTTACGATTTTTTTTTTATTGTAAATTTTTGATTTAATAAATTCACGGTGAAAGTCAATCCGCGGATAAAATTCCGGTTTAAAGCAGCTTAAATACTTATTTACTTATTTATATACGAACAAATGCGGCTTATTTGTTACATATTAGATCAATTGCGTTCGCTAAAAATGGCGCAAATATCCCTCAAATTTAAACCTTAATGGCCTTTATTTTACTATTTAATGATTATATCTGAAAAATTTGAATAATGAATTAACCAAACAATTCGTAATTGAAATGATAAATACCATAGACCCCCATTATATCTGGGTCTAAACCAGTGTCAAGAATTTGGTAGAATGTAAGAGACCTGGGGTTTTTGATTAGTAATTTAGATTTAACAAAAACTCAACCCATTACTATACCCTCCCGCCGAGCAATATATCTTCCGGGTATGTTATTATTATTCCTGGAACACCTTGTGAAGAATTAACCGAATGATTATTCCACCGATTTAATCAATGTAACGTTTATTGTTTTAAAGCAAGGTAAGTACGTACATTGTAGTTTCATGTGAATTTAATTTACAAATCGGTTAACACCAAGCTTTAGGCTATCTTCGTAAATAATAAACATTTACATTGATCATGCCAAAACCAATAATTTATCGAATCAGCAGAATAATCATTTGGTTAATTTATAATAAGGCATCCCAAGAATAATGATAACAGCTGTAATCGGTGGAATGTAACATACCCGGGTGTCTATACAGTTAAATAATCTTAATTCTGACGCAACGATTAAACACATTTGCTTTGTTAACCTTCATTGATCATGCTGAAACCAATAATTTATCGAATTGGCAGAATAATCATTCGGTTAATTTATAATAAGGCGTCCCAAGAATAATGATAACAGCTGTATTCGGTGGAATGTAACATACCTGGGTCATCTATACAGTTAAATGATCTTTCACTAAATTTAATTTTGATGCAGCAATTAAACACATTTACTTTGTTAACCTTTTTTTCTTTTCGCTAATTAAAATTTGTTTCTAGACCTGTTCTGACTGATTGACTAAATGCTTGGAGAACACCCTCTATCTATTGCATAGTAAATTTTTAATTAAAAAAAACTTTTTAATAAATGTATACGATTTTTCTTGTAAATATATATATAGAAAGAATAATAAATATCACTTTAGTGGCAATATCTCGTGATCTGGTGATTGGAATCTCACGATTCTGATATCAATCAATTCGTCTCACCGAGACAAATCGATTGGTATCAAAATCGTACAATTCTGATCGACAGTTCGCGAGATATTGCAATTGTGCCATAATTGGTAATGCGCTATAATACCCATACTCACCTTATAAAATCTAACTAATTTGAGCCAATTTAAACTCTAACTTTAACTCTGATTCTAATAATTTATAAATTATTTAAATTAGTTCAAATAATTAAGTTATATATGTCATAATTGTATAATAATTATATATGCCTACCTATATTAAAAATCAACTTTTTTGAAATCTTAAAGTGACTATACAAAGGTCTGGCATAGTTTATTAAACTTTGGATTAATACTAGCATAATCACATAGACCACCCAATATTGTTACATTAATGAAAGTATAATTGGCCACATATATAACTTTAGTTATTGCCTATTTAAGAGCTCTGCTATATTTATTTCTATCTATAGTTATTCACCAATTGCTATATCTAAGATCTACTTATAGATCTCTTATTTAAATTTTTTGATCAATTTTATATCATCAGATATCTTTTTCAAAAAGAAATCTGCTACTAAGACTTCTTAAGACTTTAAAACAGATATATACTTTTATATTATTACAGCAGTACTTAAATTATAGGACAATATTCACAGATATAAAATAGTTTATTTAGTAATAAGGTAATACAAATAAGTTA